GGTGGTATTCACAGATCGAATGGCGGATGTTGATCCACGTACTGCATTTGCCGTATAGAGAACCTCATCACGATCTTCCTCACAATCGCATGGCCGACATGGACCCCATATTCCTTTGCACCGGTGCTCCCGCGGAAGATGCCTGTGACTGCGCTATAGAGCGCAGTTGCCAGAACAGAGAGGTAGCCGGGAATAAGGTCAGCTTTCTCCAGCAGTGTGAGACGAACATTATCCGGGTGGTCCGCCATCTTGAATGGTCGGCGACTATCTCACAGACAGCCTGAGACGGCACAAAAAAAAGACATATGCTGTTTGACGGTCGAATCTAAATGCTGGAGAGCTGGGCGGGCTATCCCAAGGGTTGAATAAGCGCTCTTCCCCGCACTCCATAGCTCATCCCCCGCCGGTTCGGGTGATCGGCCGTAGATAATTTGCGCTGGTCTATCTGTTTCAAGGTTCAGAGACTCACCCTGGTGTGTCTGGGCTGGCGCGACGTGGCCATGGTGTTGGTGGATGCCTAAACCTCGGCTATTCCGTCAGCAGTAGATGTTGTCGGAGTGGCGATCTTCCCAATTGGGAGTCCCAACCAAAAAGGCCTAAAGTCAAAGCTCAATATGAGTCGCTGAGATGGAAGGATGGCAAGGTTTCATTGAATGGAATAAATGAAAAGATATTTGAGTTAGCAACCGACGTCTAGTTTCCGTTTACCATGTCCTCCTTCCCAGTCAAGTCACAGAACGCTTTAAACGTAGTAAAGGTATCTTCTCCCGTGCTCTCAATGATACATTCTGCATTGGCTCCAACAAAGAACACATAGCCCTCCTTGACCTCTTCCGTCTTGGGGCCGACTGTTATCTTACCCGCTCCAGCGGTGCAGATTACAATGCTCGGACCCGAAATTCCATCGAACGTCGCCTTGGCACCTAGCCGCTTGAGATCTGTCTTGACCACACTGAACTCCTCAATGGGGGGATCGTACAGGATGCAGGAGGAGCCGCTAGAGTAAGCAGGGGCATTGAGGACCGCATAGGGATAGTCGGTCGGCTCAAGCTTCTGCTCAGTGATGGGCGCGTAGGAATACGTCAGCATGTCCACCAGCGTATCCACGTCCTTGAACTTGGGTGTGAAGCCTGCCCGCACAACGTTGTCCGATGAGGCCATGCACTCAATGATGTCGCCGGAGATGTATGCATGAATGTCATCAGCCTTGAGGAACATAGCCTCACCCGGTTCGAGCTTGACAAAGTTGAGGAAGAAGAACACGAAGGAGCCGATGTCGCTGGGAAACTGTCCATTGAGGCGCACCGTGATGGCGGCCAGTTCCGCAGGATTAGTGGGGTTGGTCTCCGGTGTGCTGGATGAAGTCGCAAAAGTCTCGGGCGAGTTCTGGGCCATCGCGACAAGTTCCTTTGTTGCGGCCTCAATACTTTCAGGAGAGGACCTCATCAGAGAGGTGAAGAGAGTGCGGAGAGCCTGCTTATTTTTCTCGGTCACCGCGGGGTCCTCCGATTCCTCCGAGCCCTTGACTGTGTTCTCAAATTCGCCGGCGGCCTGCTCCCCCACCAATTGACGAAGAGGCGCGACCGCTTTGAGGAAGTGAATGATTTCAGCCAGGGGACGGAAGCCACAAAGGCCTTCAAAGGGGGTGATGGCGATGGTCATCTCGGGTTTGTGGTTGTCATCTGAGAAGAGGAGTCAATATCAGTGGAATGCAGTTTCAAATTAGACAACAAAAACCTGCGTAAGGCCGTTTACTGACCTGGATAGTTGCGGGGATCTCTGGCATGAAGCTTTTCTGCCAGCTTCTTGTTCGGATGGGCCTGAATGCTGAGCGCCTTTCTGATGGACAGGACCTTGAACAGGAAGGGAAGCTTTCCGCCATATCGTTCGCTGACCTCTTGAGATATCAATGCCTGGTTGTCCTGGACCATATCCAGTAAGGTGCGCTGAGTCTCGAGATCTTTGGAAGGGAGTGAGGGGTGTGTTCCCATCCATAACTACGTCATCGGTGTTAGCGTTTCGATCTTCGTCTATAGCCATTGTGAAGAAAGAAAGTACCTCAGCATAAGGCTTGTCTGATTCTATTGAGAAATCGGAAGCTGCTGTAGTTGCAGCATACTTGGCAGCAGCCGACTCATGACCGACCTTACCTATAAGAATATATCAGTGTCTGCTTCATAGGGTAGAACAAAGTATATGGATCTTACCCCAATCATAGCTATTGACACCTTTCAAAACACATATTCGTCAGCTTTCCATACGTACTGGACATTCGCAAATGACAATGACAAAAAACATACCGCATTGGAGTCGAAGTAGTGGTACTGGAGGCATTCTTCCTGGTGAGGGGCAATTCTCGCAATCAGAGGCCCGAGTAAACACAATAATATGGATGGAGCAGTGAATCTCGCGAGCACTACTCTACTAGCGCTGCGAAAAATCTTTCTGTAATTCACCGAGCAGCAAACAGTCAACCTTCTAAAAAGCACTCGGGATCACGCTTTTCGTGAGGACTTCCTTTCTTCCTCTCTACCCCTCCGGATGCTTGTTTCTATGCTACCTTACTGGACACGGACTTGATCCATCCCGATTTGGCTGACCGCATCCGTCATGGCGCCCGCCAATCAGCGTCGTCCCCAGTTGGCCGCCTCTTCCGCCCTCTCGTCTTCCTCGGCCAGACGCGATGTGATCGGATCCGCCAAGCACACCCCGGCCAACGCGCTTGACCAGAGTCAGAGCAGTATTACTACTCTTAGCCGCCGCTTCGGGGTATCTGTCGGTGTCAGTGTACCTTCTGATCAGGGAAACGGCTCTGAACCGAAACTAAGCCAGCAGAATCCCACTGCTGTATCTCCGCCCTTAGGATCATCCTCCAACAGCCCCCCCACTGGCCGTCCACATAATCAAAGGCACGGCGCAGCTCGGGGAACACGCAGCGCACGGCACCAGGAGATCGTCTCCGCCTTTGAGTGGGAGGCGCTGAAGCTTGAACAGCGCAAGAAGTCTGGACCCGTTGCGCCTTCCGGGAGCAGTAAAGAGCTGTCGCTGACTGTTGGGCTGTCCAAGTCCCCATCCCATACGATGTCGCGGAATCGGCCTAGAGGTCCTCCTGTGCCAAGAGACAATGGTCTCGCGGCAAATGAGGAGACTGATATGTGGAACAAGATTCTACAGGACCTACGCAAGGCCAAGGAGAAAAATGACAAGCAGAAAGTCGTGGCTGAAGAGATTGCTGCACTGAACGAACAGATTGGTAGAGACGGTGGAAGTAAGTCGATTTCTTCACCTTTTTTACGATTATCCTTGTCGGATTACAGTACTGTGGTCCTTTGCTATACCCCTTTTGCATCGGTGTCTAGGAAACAGTCAACTGTTCGATAGACAGCCCGCTTCTACTCTGCCCGCGTGTACTCTACTTATTAAAATGGCTACGGACCTTGGTCTTTGCCACAACCATAGCGATACCGATTGTTTTGGCAATTATCCTATGTGCTCACGGTTTTCAAGAACACTACCACTAACTTCGGATAGGACCCGCTCTCAGCGAGCATAATCAGCTGGACAGTCTATATCGCCAAATGTCCAAGCTCTGCGAGGAAGAGAGAGCTATTCTCCAAGACGAACCCAGTGACGTGATCAAGAACCTGGGGTTATTGACCGCGCTTCGTCAAGCATCTGAAGCGGAAGCTCCATTCAACCGCGCCGCCTCTCTGGTCAAGTCACGAAAGAAGAGAAGTGATGTGGATGGATCAGCAACAGACTCGCCCGGTCCCTCAGGTCCGTCTGTATCGGACAAAATTGGCCGCATCAAAGGCGTTCAACGTAGTACCAGTGCTTCCAGTCCCCAGACCCGCGACGGCCGCGAGGTTCGTGACAGTGTCATGGTCAAAATTGAAGAGACGGCGGAAAGCATCAGAGGCACAATTGCGGAGCGCAACGGGCAGCTGGTCATTGGTGCCGAAGTGGTTTTCAAACATAACAAGAACAAACAGGGCGTTGAAGGGGAGGGGATCCAGTGCATCATCAAGGGAATCTCCGGTGACGGTCCTAAGAAGAGGTATGTTATCGTCGCTCGTCCTATCTGATCGCAAGGAAATTGACCTGTTTACCACTAGATACGACGTCCAAGACCCAGAACCAAATGAGAATGGCGAACAAGGCGCTGTCTACAAGACCACTGCTGCATCTCTGATTCCTATTCCCCAGGTCGGCTCCACACTACCGGTGTTTCCTGTAGGGAAGCAAGTTCTAGCACGATACCCCGACACTACTACATTCTACCGTGCTGAAGTGATGGGCACGAAAAAGGACACCTACCGCCTCAAATTCGAGGGCGAAGAGGATGACAAGGAAATGGAGGTCGATCGACGATTTGTCCTAGACATTCCGGGAAAATGAATGAAGGCGGACTGAATTCTGGATGACTCCCTTTTGATGATACCCTTTGGCAGAAGTGTTCTTAAATTCCGGGAAGAAAAGGCCGTTAAGGAGTCTGGCTTGTTTGATCATATGGGATTGAAATCTGGTGTTGAGGCTGGGATATTTTACTTTTCGGTCTCGTGTGCTTCGATAGCAGCAGATTGACAATAATGATAAGATAACTATGGATTGCGGCTCTATCTATTTGGTCGGGCCATTTTCATCTTGTAGAAGATGCTAGACTCACTGCTAAGTACCTAGGCATAATTGCCGTGGATCACGTCAGGCCTGACAAATGACAGGTGGACCTTCATGTAATCTCGCGATGAGTCAGCGCCTCTTCTCCCCCGCCGACTGCAGCTGCGGATGTCCCGAGGAGCCGAACATCGAATCCGTTTCCCAAGAGTGACCGAAATATGATTGCAATCGTCGTCTTTTTCTTGCAGAGAGTGTGGTGAAGTGATCAATCGTACTTTTTCTTCATATATTATTATCTGTAATGATCATTCTTTGTTGAGATACCCTTCTCTAAAATTGTTCTTTCGCCCCCCTCCTCCTCCAACCCCAAGTCCGTCATCGCAATGTCGAATTTACCGTCCCATGCCTCTCCGTCTTTCGGGGCGCAAACGCCTACCACGCCACAGCCTGTCGACGAGCTTTCTCTGAACTCGAACATCACATCAGTCCCTGTATTACACTCCAGATTAGATGAACTCCGAGATGAGACTTCCAGTCAGATCAGCAGCACCGACACTGACCGCGGGGACATGACCCCCGCGGTTCCCGCATCATTACTCTCCCCCTCCTTCACCCCTCCAGCGACCCCCGGGGGCTCAATCAATACCGCAGAGCTGCTCCGACAGGCCCAATTAGCCAGTGCACGGCAAGAGTCAACACATACGAAGCCCCCGAGGCTGCTGTCTCGCCTTCCCAATGTCGAGTGTGTCGTCCGCGCTCGGATACCCACGACAACGGGCGCGGAGATGTTTCTCCACCTGTATCACAATGATTTGGACAACAAAGAGCATTTAGCGATTGTTTTTGGGAATACCATTCGAAGCAGAAGCTTGGACAAGGTCCGACCTGGGGAGACGGAGATGGATCGCATGATCCGCGGTGCGTATATAGGGAAACTCCGTCCGGGCCGTGTGAGCAGCTGGTATGACGAGGAGAAAGCCGGGGAAGTTGCCAGCCCGGAAGCTGGCGGTGCTGTATCCAGTCCGCACACACCGCCTCAGAGCAGCCTCAAGGAAGCACCTCTTGTGAGAATCCATTCGGAGTGCTACACCGGTGAGACGGCTTGGTCTGCACGCTGCGACTGTGGCGAGCAGCTCGACGAGGCAGCTCGACTCATGTCGCTGCCCACGGAGACATTGGCAGAGGCTGCGTCCCAGCAGGATGTGGCCGTACCGTCAAATGCTGCTGGGGGTGTGATTGTGTACCTGCGCCAAGAAGGACGAGGCATTGGTCTTGGCGAGAAACTGAAAGCGTACAATCTTCAGGATCTGGGATCTGACACGGTGGAAGCCAATCTCCTGCTTCGCCACCCTGCGGATGCAAGAAGTTACGGATTAGCTACGGCGATCCTGGTGGATCTTGGTCTAGGGGTTGACTCGAATCCGCACGGCATCAGGCTACTCACGAATAACCCGGACAAGATTCGAGCGGTTGAGGGACCTAACCGAGAAGTGGTGGTGAAGGAGAGGGTGCCGATGGTCCCATTGGCATGGAGATCGGGTGGAAAGATGGGAATCAAGAGTTCAGAGGTCGAAGGCTATCTAAGAACGAAGGTATGTCGGCAATCTATCTCTTGCAAACCAGTTGTTTTTTTTTTTTTTTTTTTTTTTCCCTTCATCATTGAAAAATGTCTCACACTCTCCTCGCAGATATCGAAAATGGGCCATTTGCTCCAATGATCCGCGCCCCTTTCGGTTGTAATTTGTGTTGGAAGTACGCCTTCCTGCTTTTGGATTTAGACAAGTTGACACGGTGTATGGCTTGTCAACCATGTAACGGTTCTGCAGCGCAAACTTTCTGGTCGGTTATTTTCTTTTTCCGTTCGGTCTTTTGTACGGTACATAAACTGGAGGATTAGCGCACTTTGTACATGATGTTCTCGACATGGTCCATCAGGCCGCGATTGGTTGAGATAATCCCTCTCTAATCTCTGGTTCGCATACTCTTAAATGCAGGTCTAGTCTCTAGACGGACTAGTCCTCCTGCTGTGGATATCTGACAAGTATCTGCAAGGACCGTTTTCCGTGTCCAGTTAGTTCCAATAATCACCAAATGTCGGCGAGACGTCGGCGGATTGAGTTAGTTTGAGTCAATGGCGGAGAGTGTGGCAATTAACAATTCTGGGAGCCTAGAATCCTGTAAATTAGAAACCTAGAAACCCCGGTCTATCGTGGCGGCAGTGCCTCAATTTTTTTCTTAAATCTAAATGATAGGGGGGATCCTGGGATGGCTGAAGGAGCCTTGGCTGCGATCCAGCATAGTCTATAGTGTTTCCACGATAATCCGATCGAATGGGACTGCGAGAGATGGTAGATGGATTACATTAGCGGCCAATAAGAGTGGCTGTGGATAAGACTAGACCCTCAGACTCAGACAGACAGACCGACAGACTCCGATCACCACAGCTTAACTGAGAAGAAAAGGCGGAGTAATCTAGATAACGGTCGCAACTCGCAAGAATCACCAAGTGAAGAAAGGATAGTCCGGGGCTGCTGAGCCAGAACCCTCCCATCCAAGGCCCCAGAATCCTACGGTACCTTAGATAGGCCCAAAGCCAAAGCCAAAGTCCCAAAGTCCTCGCAAGGCCCAAGAAAGGGAGCCACGGCGACGGAAGGTTTGGGGCCCCACCCCAAACCGTTGTCGTTCCCTTGTCTTAGTCTCTGAAGGAATGGCTCGAATCGTGAACAGCTGTGGGAAAGATGCAGCCCCCATGTAAAACAGCATCTGGCTCAGCAGCAGCAGAAGCAGCAGCAGCAACGCCGAAGGAAGAGGAGGAGGACGATCCTGAACTGAGATAGAAAAATTATATCTACCCCGCCCAATTCTATCTGTCGTATGTCCAAATGTCGAGTCTTTCGTATTTCCGCTGACACAATCCACCGTCTCGTGGACATTATTTCCATCCACTTCCCACTTGGCACAGCTCATCATCCAATATTTTTTCTTCCCTCTGACGCTTTGAATGGCCGTTGGCGTCAGCTAGACGCGCCAGTGAGGCCATGGCCACCCGCCTGCCTCCTTTAAATGATGTGGCGCCCTCGTCGTCCCTGGAGTCATCGTCATCCGTGAGCACCACTCCAGCTCCAGCGTCAGCCACAGTGTCAGTATCAGCTACAGCATCAATACCACTCACTTCGAACCCGTCCTCAACAGTCCTCTGCACTCCAAATCAAGATCCCGACTGCGTCAAGCAGGAAGCCTCCCCTACCCCATCCTGTTTCACCTCCGCCGACGGCGACACACCCGTCGCCGAGAATGGCGGATCCACGACGGCCGCGGGCCGGAAACGCAAGCTCAATAGTACCTCGTCGCGCGGCGTGGCCAACCTGACTCCCGAGCAATTGGCCAAAAAGCGAGCGAATGATCGGCAGGCCCAGCGGGCGATCCGGGAGCGGACCAAATCGCACATTGAGTCGCTTGAGCAGCGGGTGCGCGAGCTCTCGTCTCAAAAACCGTTCCTTGATCTCCAGGCGGCGCTGAAGCGGAATGAAGCCATTCAGGCGGAGAATCGGGATTTGAAGCACGGGCTTCAGGCGGTGATGGACATTATACAGCCGCTGGTTGCGAAGCAGGACCCAAGTGAGTGTTCTTTGGTATTGTCATGCATGCTCGCCTGGACTATCTCTGACACAATGGACAACAGATCTGCCTCCCCCTCCTCCGCCTTCTCAACCTCTGAATGCTTCCTTCAATCCGCTGCGGTACACCGAGACTCACCACTTCACCTCGAGCGGCCAAGGATACGAGTCATCCTATACCACGACAACTTCTGGCGCAGAAACGCCGACGTCGACACACTCGGCACCTACGATGAGTGCTCATCGACAAGATAGCAGCAACGGACTGGCGTCGTTCCGGATCGCATTCGACTATCAGCGTCATAACCTCGCTCATGGATTGGATTTTGGTACGGACGAGAGACTGGGTTTCAATTTCCTGCTCGATGCCACTCAGCAAGTTCCTCGGGTGGAAGGGTTCCGTCGATCAATGGAGAGCTTCAGGCCGTCTCAGGCAGATCCGCCTCCAGTCTACACACCTTCGCCTAGCGGTCCTGCGCCGGAGCAACCCTTGCCCGCATACAGAACTCCCATCCGGAACGTAGCCCCGACGTGCACATTGGACGCCATCCTGTTGGATTTTCTTCAGAATCGTCAGCGCAAAGCGGCAGAGGGAGTTCCCACACAGAAGCTCGTGGGGCCCCCTTATCCGAGTGTCTCGTCGCTACTGAACCCCGAAAAGAATGTTCACTCGCATCCACTGTCAAAGGTGTTTGTCGATATCCTTCGCGCATTTCCAGATATTTCGTCCCTGCCTGAGCAAGTAGCTGTCTTATACATAATGTTTCTCCTCATGCGGTGGCAGATCTACCCGACGCCAGAGAACTATGAGCGGTTGCCCGAATGGCTCACACCTCGGCCCTCTCAACTTCTCACACCCCATCCGGCCTGGATCGACTACATTCCGTGGCCGCGGATGCGCGATCGGCTGGTCGCCTCGTATCAGGAATATCCGTTTGAACAATGGTTCATCCCATTCACCCGGACGCTGTCCGTGAACTGGCCGTACGAGGCGACGGACTGCTTGCTTTCCACCAGTGATCATGAGGACCTCATCATTAATCCAGTCTTTGAGCGACATTTTCGAAATCTGAACAATTGGTCGCTCGGCCCATCTTTTGCGAAAGCGTATCCGTACATGGCCGAAACCGCGAGAATCAAATCTTAATACACGTCATGTTTCTTTCATTCGCGGGTCCGGCGTCTCATCCACATGTTACCTCCATTTCTTTTGTGGTGCACCTCTCTTGTCTCTTCTTCTCTTGTTTCATATACAAAAGGGCAGATGGAGTGTATGGTTGGTGATTTATCTGACTGTCGACTTTCTTTGTGACTGGCGCATTACGAGCAGGCGAGCAGAGGTTCACGGGCTCTGTTGTACATCTATTCAGATCTCTTCGTTGGTGGTTCTGCAGTGAAGGTTTCATTTTCTTGTTCTATAATGGTTCGAAACAGTGGTATATAGCACCAACACGACACGGACGCGTCCACGAAGCATACAAACAAAGCTGATAATCTACATTCTACCTTCCACCCTTCCTGCTCTTCCCATTCCAAAACTCCAGCCCCGCCTGCTGCCGCAAGACTCCATACATGGAGCTGCTATCCAGGCATTCCCCCGCGTACTCCCTCGCCGCCATCATATTCTCCCGAGCAACCTGTAAACCAGGCAGGCGGACATTATGCTCCTGGGCGATGGCAAGCGCATGGTTCGCGTCCTTGATAGCCAGCGAGACACCAAACCCAGGCCGGGAGTCGAGGGATGGCGCGTAGGCACCGGTTGTCAGTCTACAGCAATCAGTAGGAGTCACCAGCAAGATCCTATCATTCACAAACCTCTTCGAGTAGCCACCCGCCACAGCACCGAATGCCTCACCGATCAAATCCTCCATGGGCCCGGTACCTAGGCCCGTCCGCTCCGCGAACACCTGCGCCTCCCCGACGGCTTCCATCAGGTTCACCGTAACAATGTTCCTGTACAATCAGCCTAAACCATCCGACGCCCTCCCGCAAACGGATTAAAGGGAGAAAGGCTCACCCAGCAATCTTCAACAGGGAGGACTTGGTCGCATCCTCGCCGCAGTCGATGATCTTCCGCCCCATGACATCCTGGATGAGCGGCTTGACGGCCTCTGCTGCGCTCCTCGGCCCCCCGATCGCGAAGACAAGCTTCCCGTCCACGGCGATCGGGTTCCCGCCGAAGACAGGTGCAGATAGGAAAGAAGCCTGCTTCTCCTTGAGCTTGGAGACGGTCAGTCCTACCGTCTGCGGGTGGACGGTCGAGCAGTCGACGAAGATCTTGTCTTTGAGCGGGTGGCCTGATTCGAGGGCTGTGGTGATGAGTTGGCTTAGCACGGTGTCGTTGGAGACCTGTCAGCTATCAGTATGCGTTCTGCAGTTTCTTTTGGATGAAGGGGGATTACCATGGTGAAGATAATCCCGCACTGGGCGACGAGGTTCTGGAAACTCGGCTCCGGCACGGCGCCTAGGCTTCTCAATGTGTCGCCGCGTGCCATTGTCCGATTTGAATAGACCAGATTCAGGGCTTGTTTTGCGGCTAGATGGCGTTGGAGGTTGGTGGCCATTGCCAGGCCCATGGAGCCGAGGCCATACTGAGTTCAGATCATTAGCGTATTGTTGGTTGGGTTGGTGTGGTCTGGAGGAAGACTTACCCAGCCGATTCGACTCATCTTGGTTTTGGTTTGGATGTGAGTTTATTGCGCAGGCAGGACCGTAGGAGAACGACGGATGAGGGTATATCTATTTATTCTGGGGATCACCGGCCGGTCCCGATCTCGGGAGGGCGTCGGCCGATAGACTGCTTCCAGGCTGTAGCTTCTGCATTGTAGGAATGTCTGCCTCTGAAATCGCTAGAAGATGTCCTGGGAGGGCCGTCCTTGAGCACATATAGTATTACCAGGCAGGTTTACTATTCGAACTCCATTGTTGATAGTTGTTTGGTGTTTACAGGCGGGAGGGTCTCATCACCGTCACCCAACAATGCACTCTCCATCAGTCTACTTGAATTGAATGCGCTCGATGGATCATCTACTGACTAGTCATCTCGAGACTGAAATGCAAAGGTGTCAAGTGACATTTATGACTCCGGTAGCATGCGTACCGTTGCTGATGGAATGCGGCTCGGCGCGCTAATGACGACTATGGGGAAGCCCATCGACTTAACACACCTCCAGACCCAAACTCCCTCGCCGTCCCCTCATCTTTACTATCCATACACAACTCTCCTCCCCAACAGCGCATTTCACTCTGTATTTTTCTGTTGCTTTTCAACGGAGGGACTAACTGAACCAAAAGTACTTATTGTTCGACCACCACCATGGCGGATATGCCCATTGGTGAGCACCATTCCCCCTCCAGGCAGCTTCCCCCGTCCGCCAGGTAGCTAACCCACACACCTAGTCCTCGACGGAGGAACTGGTTTCCTCAAGGTCGGATATGCTGCGCAGGTATGTCGGTTATTACGCACAGAATCTCCCTCATGCGCCATACTCATGCGTCTTTCGTCTACAGAATTTCCCAGAGCACCAGTTCCCCTCGATAGTGGGGCGGCCCATACTGCGAACTGAGGAACAGGCCGGCGACATTGTCGTGAAGGATATCATGTGCGGAGATGAAGCTGCAGCTGCCAGATCAATGCTTCAGATCAGCTATCCTGTATGTTCTGCCTCTCATGTCCCTGTTCTTGTTGCGAACGGTTGCTCGCCTTCCCGGCGGAGCTCCCGTCACCGTCTTTGCAGCAGGGTGTTGATTCAGGAACCATTGGTTGATGTCCGCGGGTAATATAGATGGAGAACGGTATCGTGAAGAAATGGGACGACATGCAGCACCTATGGAACTACACTTTCTACGAGAAGATGAAAATCGACCCCACGGGGCGCAAGATCCTCCTCACCGAACCCCCAATGAACCCCCTCAAGAACCGCGAAAAGATGTGCGAGGTCATGCTGGAACAATACAACTTTGGAGGCGTATACGTCGCTATTCAAGCCGTGCTTGCTCTCTACGCTCAGGGTGAGTGCAACGGCCGAGCAATAAGTAACGACGGCTGATCTTTGTTCGTACCAGGTCTCAGCAGCGGTGTGGTCGTCGACTCCGGCGATGGTGTCACACATATCATTCCCGTCTATGAATCCACCGTTCTCAAGCACCATATTCGCCGACTGGACGTCGCCGGCCGCGACGTCACCCGCAACCTGATCGCTCTGCTCCTGCGCCGCGGCTACGCCCTCAACCGTACGGCCGACTTCGAAACAGTGCGCCAGATCAAGGAGAAGCTCTGCTACGTCTCGTACGACCTCGAGCTTGACAAGAAGCTCTCCGAGGACACCACCGTTCTCGTCGAATCATACACACTCCCCGACGGCCGGGTCATCCGGGTAGGCAGCGAGCGCTTCGAGGCCCCCGAGTGTCTCTTCCAACCGCACCTGGTGGACGTCGACCAACCCGGTATGGCCGAGCTGCTCTTCAACACTATCCAAGGCGCCGACGTCGACGTCCGCTCAAGCTTGTACAAGGCCATCGTCCTCAGCGGTGGAAGCAGCATGTACCCCGGTCTGCCGTCGCGGCTGGAGAAGGAACTCAAGCAACTGTGGCTTACGCGGGTACTCCAGGGAGACCCCGAGCGACTTGGTGTACGTTTCTATCCTAACCTTCCTGGAGAATGCCTGAAACTAAATCTCTCTCGTAGAAATTCAAAGTGCGCATCGAAGATCCCCCCCGACGGAGACACATGGTTTTCCTGGGCGGTGCCGTGCTCGCCAACCTGGTAAGAACCAAGTCCCCCCATGCCCCTTTCCTTGACGACGTGACGTCTCTAACATATCGCAGATCGCCGACAAGGAGGACATGTGGGTCAGCAAGCAAGAATGGGAGGAGCAAGGTGTCCGTGCCTTGGCCAAGCTCGGTACTAGCTAGTCGAGTCGCCTTTGCTTTGGTCTTCGTCAAACCAGTCAACCCAATCCCACCTTCCCCCTGTCAAAGTCCCCCTCGGACTCACTTCGTGTTGATATAGCCACTTTTACTCCTCTGAAAGATTCTTCTCTGGAAGACCAACATGTCATGATAGGTTTCCAGGACGTCCAACTGCCTGCCCGTTCGATCCTTGTACGTAGTATAGAGTAAGCAAGCGAGTTGAGCACTAGGTATTGATCATTATATAGAATAACTGCCATTGCACTATCCCTTCTGCTCATTGCAGTGTGCACCCTCTATCCGCAGAGACATCTAAAGGAAACCCAATCCTCTATGAAACCCGGAAATATAAGTAATATGTACAATATCCCGATAGCCAAAAGACCGGTACACTCGAGGAGATGTACGCTATTAGAAAACCTCATCTACGGTACAGTAAATAGAATGGGGCAAGCCGAGCTAGTCATCACATTCGGACTCCATTTCCTCGGCTTCGAGGCTCTTCCTCTTTTCCTCGTTCATTTCGCGGTAGGTGCTCCAGCTCAGGAGGAAGAAGGCGACGATGATGAGGAGACCGCCCACGATCGATGCGGCGGAGAGGGGTTGTCCCGTGCGCAGCCAGTCGACGATGGCGACGAGGAAGATGGTAAGGAGGGCGGCTACAGACGAGAGAACGGGGGATGTGAGAGAGATGAGGACGAGGAAGCATCCCGAGAAGGCTGGTGATGGTCAGCAATTGATGAAAAGACACCGATCAGAATTGGAGTATGCAAGACTTACTGGCATTGGCGGCGACCGATATGAGAAGCATCCATGCGGCCTCACCGGTGGGCACTCGAAACTCTTCCCAGCCCAGCATGTGGAGGATAGGCAAGGGAATCCAAAGGACGAGCAAGGTGAAACAGCCGATGAGACTGCCGAAGGTGTTGGCGAAGATCATGCTCCGGCCGGCGCTTGTGCCCTCCGGGGGACAGGCGAACCGCTTGTACAACACCTCGTAGAGACCGTAGAGCACGCTTCCGACCCCGATTATGATATTGCCCAAAAGTCTGTTCTCTGCTTCCTGCTTTGCTTTCCCTACTGTGCCGTCCGGAGTTTGTTTGCTTTCGCTGCGATCCCCGTACGCAACCACCAGAACTCCGACAATGGCAACGACAACCGAAAACACCTTATCGAATCGCAGCTTATCTTTCAATAGCGGAATGGAGAAAGCATATGCGAAGAACGCGGAGCAGT